ATACCACATAACTGTTAAATTATAATATATTAACATACCACATAATTGTTAAATTTGCATATATTAACATACCACATAACTGGTAAATTATAATATATTAACATACCACATAACTGTTAAATTTGCATATATTAACACACCACATAACTGGTAAATTACCATATATTAACATACCACATAACTGTTAAATTACCATATATTAACATGCCACATAACTGGTAAATTATCATATATTAACATAGCACATAACTGGTAAATTACCATATATTAACACACCACATAACTGTTAAATTACCATATATTAACATACCACATAACTGGTAAAATATAATATATTAACATACCACATAACTGTTAAATTTGCATATATTAACATACCACATAACTGTTAAATTACCATATATTAACATACCACATAACTGTTAAATTACCATATAATTAACATACCACATAACTGTTAAATTACCATATATTAACATACCACATAACTGGTAAATTACCATATATTAACATACCACATAACTGTTAAATTATAATATATTAACATACCACATAACTGTTAAATTTGCATATATTAACATACCACATAACTGGTAAATTATAATATATTAACATACCACATAACTGGTAAATTACCATATATTAACATACCACCTAACTGTTAAATTACCATATATTAACATACAACATAACTGGTAAATTATCATATATTAACATACCACATAACTGGTAAATTACCATATATTAACATACCACATAACTGTTAAATTACCATATATTAACATACCACATAACTGGTAAATTACCATATATTATCATACCACATAACCGGTAAATTACCACATATTAACATACCATATAACTGGTAAATTACCATATATTAACATACCACATAACTGGTAATTACCATATATTAACATACCACATAACTGGTAATTACCATATATTAACATACCACATAACTGGTAAATTACCATATATTAACAAATAACATAACTCAAATTTGCCAACATTAGCATATCATATAACCAGAATTTACAAATATGACCAAGCATATCAAATTTGCATATATTAGCATATCATATAAGTGTCAAATTTAACATTAACATATCAGAATATTATTACTTTGCATATATTAGCAAATACATCATCATAGTTACAAACAGTAATGGTGCTACAATGAATGTCATGCTATATAGGCTAGGGTTCAAAGGTCAATGGGTTAATCAAACGGCATATTCAGTTCTTACCAACTCTGACCGCAGTATGTAGAAGTGTATCACCAGTGGAATTCTTTTCTTGATTAACACTAAATTCTAAACTCTGGAATCAAATATAATTAAAAAAGAAAAACAATTAATGTGTGCTACCTACTGCAGTTGATGTTGATCTTTTCATTCATGTTGTGTTCATATTACTGAAGATGAACAAATTATGAGGTCAACAGTCAAATTAAGGAACTATGGAGGTCCAAAAAATGCTTGTGTCTTTTTTTTTATTGGTTTAATATGTTTTTCATCATTGTCATGGGAATATTGTTGTTGCAAGGTTTGAATAAATTGACATATTGGTATCATTTGCTATGTTTTTAAATAAGATGGTATTTTACCATTACATGGATTGGAAATACTATGGAAATTCTATGCAAAGTGGATGCCAAAATTTGAATTGGGAGCAAACATTTCCAAGAGGTAATGCTCCTTGCATGTATGGAGCACATCGCTTGTAAGTACTATTCTTAAAAAGTTACTCTTATATTTATTTACCTGTAATTTAATTTGAATTTCGTCATAATTTTTACCACTTTTAACCCAGGTAAATAAAGTATCTTTGTCTTGCAGTGATGCAGGTGTAGGTGGTCTATTCAGTGGAGTACTACTTCTTATCTGCAGACTTTTTTTAGTTCTACTACAAAAACATATTTGGTCAGCTGTTCTACCTGTAAAATAAAATATTATACCCATCTTGATTAAACATGAACTGAATTATTAATGATAATTAAAAGGTGATATTTTATTTTGGAAAGTTTGTTTCTCAACTTGTTCTACCACATTCTGATTCAAATCTGATGTACGGTACTGACTTTTTTTTTAAATTTATTAAATTATTATGTATTTATTTTGTTTTAATTTACAGTATTTTATTGTTTAAATATTTTGATGCACTGCCACGTAAAAATGCTAAAAAACAATAAAATACTGTTAATTAAAACAAAATAAATAATAATTTAAATTAATAAATTTAAAAAAAGATAGATTTACTATATTTTAGCATAATATGGCAGTTTCAAAATATGCATTTTAGTTTTATCCTAAGTTGTAGATTCATGAATAAAAACTTAAAATAATAAAATGAATGTAATCATAATATGAATGTCCATTTTTTTTATTCTACATCTTGTAACATAAATTACTGGCAAAAAATCTCATTGCTGTGGTCATGTCAAAACCTAAAATACAATCTGAACTGTAGAGAACACTAAGTTAGTATAAACATAGATATATTAAAATATGTTTGTGTTTTAATGTGAGGTATGTGCTGCACTGTTTCTGGAGTATTTATTGTATTTATACAAAATTGGGAATACAAATTTGAATTGATTTTAAATTTTATTTCTTCAAATTGAAAAAATAAATACAGACAAAAGCCATCATATAAATATATGTATTGTACTTTATTACTAACATTTTTATTGCTGTTCAACCAATGGAAATTATTTCTAAGGATGCAATAAATTCATTATTATTATTATATTATAAATAGCAAGGTATACAATTAATTGATAGTGTGAGTAATTAGTCCCTCCAACTAATCACTTCCACCCCTATTTAAAAATGGAAATGTCTGATATCCTCAGTAAATTTTCTTCATTGTTTACTGATACATGACTGGGCCAGTAAAAATAATATTAGTTAATCTTGAGATCAATGATTTCTTTGATTTCTGTTACTAAGTAAGCTATGACACATTGATGATGTCAATGTAACTGGCATTAACTTGAACAGGATGCAATGCAACACAAAATATTACATTACAAAAACTGTATCAGAATATGTGCAGTAATAATATGTGATTATATGAACTATGTAATGGTGCCAATAACTTTATGCCCTCTGACCTCTGACCCCAGTACAAACATACCAAGTCTATCTGTTGCTCTTGTTGAAATTCCTAATGAGACTAGGAAGTCAACAGCTTCATAGTTCCTAGCAATACAAGCTATATGTAACATTGTATTTCCCACTGGTTCAAATCGCTGACTTAGACCTGTGAACAAAACATTACTTGATTAGATATCGACATTTATAACAAAAATTATATTTTTTTACTTTACACAATCAAATAATATAACAGTACATATTTCCACACAAATACAAATAGTGTTTTTCAAAATAAATTAATATTAAATGCCATTCCAGATAGATTATAATGTCACTAGATATGTGTAATTGTAGACACATTAGATATAGCAATACATTTGTATACTACTGATATAATATCACGTCTACATGGCAGATAGAAACAGTATATCTATGTATATGTAACACCTCTGTCTGGGTTTACCACTGATAACAAGTCATTGAAAATGACACAGTCCTTATTATGTAAACTGAAATGTTATTTGAAATCACAACTTGAAATAAATGCATGTCCAGAAATGTAAGTGAGATGTATGCATTACATCTGTTTATAATTTTTTGTCAAATTTGATGGCATCTTAGATTCAAAACATGACATAGTCCCTGTTTGTTTCTTTCAACCATATTGCTTAACACATAATGTACAATTGGGGTGAGGGTAGAACATACATGTAATCAAAAGGAATTGTCAAAGATTATACTTTGTTAGTCTACATTAGATACTAGAAATAAATAATATTGTTGTACACAATTTGAATGAGAATTTTGCATTCCTTAATCTTTTCATAACCACTGTCAAAAAATTTTTAGTCAAGAAAATAATTCATCTAATATTTAGGTGAAAATTTTGATCAGGAACATTTGTTGTCCCAAAAAAAGAAATGTAAAAAATATAACACTTTGTGCAACTTTCCAGCTTAACATGTAACAAAACATGTAGAAATATGAACAATAATAATTATTTAAGACCTCACAAAATAAGAATGTTCTGGTGAATTGCTTTTTCAAAAATGGGGTGAGGCTTTTTTTTGGGCTTTTTTTCTTGCTTAAATGCACATTTTGGAGACTTGATTGAGGGCGCTGTAGCAAATGACCTGAAATTTTGAGTATTCTTGTATAGCATGATTAAGTTCAACTTAGTATGAATTTGAACAAAATGCTTGATTTTGATGCATTTTTATTTTCAAAATCATTCTCATAGAACCATGTAATGAATTGGATCATGAAACTGATACATGATGTATGTGTCAAGTTTAAATTGTGATGAAACAGACTTTGTCTGGATGGGGGTCAATAGTAAAAATAATCAACTCACCAATAATTCTACATCTCAGCAACTCTTTCAACACTCGTAGTGGTCCACACCTTAATACTAACTTAGCACACTCAATAACAGCCTCTCGTAGAGCAGATTGAGCAAAGACATCTCGTACCAGCACTTGTAAATCTTCACCTTCTGGCCAGAGTGATCCAAACTCAACTAAAGTCTGACTTCCATGTTTGTATGGATGAAAAGTTAAACTAGGTCTCCAAAAAGTATTACAGATATTGACATGTGGATTGGTATTGTATGGTGATTGGTCACTGTTCTCATCATGTGATATCGTTTTATCCACCTTCATATTTGTAATATAGTTTGGCAGTAAACAAGCCACATACAGGCTAACACATCAAGCAGACACTTACATCATGTCAGACACCTTTACTTGTAGTCTCATTAGTCTCATGTGTGATGGT